GGGCCCGTCCCCCCGCCAGCTCGTGCGCCTGAAGCCCCCCCGTGGGCACACCTTCTGCCTGGAGCCAGGCACCGTGGCAAACGACTCCCGCATCCGTGTCGAGGTGGAGTGCACATGCACTGCTCAGGAGATGGTGGGGCCCATGCTGTGCTTCCTCCACGACGCCAAGGAGGAGCTGAGGAAGTATCAGAAGCCCAGCCTCCTACACACCCTCTGCACCGACTCCTATCTAGATGTGCAGAAAACTGCTCACTGGTTCCAGAAATTGGTGAGGGAAAGCAAGGCAAGCATGCGCGTGTTCCATTTCTGTTACTACGTTCTGACTGTGCTGCCCTCCAGCCGCTCTTGCAAAGTGGAGATTAGAGATGTCCTTGGCAGAACCATCCTCGTTGAGATGATGTTTGGCGTGCAGCTGGGCGACTCGGACATCTTCATGAGCAGCCAGGCTAGTGAGGATATCTTCACCCCAAGCACAACGTGGACATTGAGCTGCAGCTGGGCAGAGGCAAAGTTCTTGTGGCTGATGTTTGATCAGACCCCAGACGACAGCTTGCTCAGCTGCTTGCAACTCTGCACCCGCATGGTGGCAGGCACAGGCTTTTCCAGCTATACCTTGAAGACAGTGGTGATGCACCTCCTGACCACCACACCCCTGTCAGGCTGGCACAGGAGGGATTTCCTGCTGCGGCTGGATGACATCATGCGGTACCTGCGCTGCTGCTTGGAGGAGAAACGCCTCAACCACTTCTTCTTTGGTAATGAGAAGATTCCTGAGAAAAGTCCAAGCCATTGAACCTCTTCCAGCATCGGGCGCAGGATCCGGCTGCCCACGCTGAGGCAATGCATGAGTTCAAGGAGCTGCAACATCGGCTTACAACGCAGCTCTTCTTCTCGGGGCACTGAAAGAGGTCTTCATGCAGAGAGCCGTGTTTGCAGAGTTCACAGCCGAGGACAGATGAGGACCACCTCATGCAGGAGGGAAATAAAGGACAGAGTGTAGGACGCTGCAAGGAAAGGAAGAACCCCGTGTAGTGCACCTCTGACAGCATTCTCTTCTTGATGGTTTTCAGATAGCAGCCAGTGATGACTACAGTCGCAACACAG